ACAGGGGGCCTCGGTTTTAAGGTCTCATCCGAAGGATACACAACTTTCACTTCAAAATGCCGAGCACTTGGCGAAGGAACAGTTGCTACCTATTTTTTTTTTTATCGACTTAGGTCAGTCGCGTCCGTGATTCCAAGACACGACCTTCCGATCACTTAGAGAGCGCTCTACCGACTGAGCTACAGTGACGGTAGAAATAAAATGATGTTATATTAACAATATCATGTACATTTATATCCATTTATCTTCCATCATGGCTTTAGTGCTGTACTTTCCCACATTCATGCGCGTGGCATATCATATCAATATTAAACACAATTAGAACAGAGTTTAAGTCAATTTAGCTGTAGAAATTTGAAGTTATTCAAGTTCAAAATCGGTGAAAATTTTAATTTGAAAGTACATAACATATATCATTTATATCTACATGTACGCTCAATCTCGTAATATTATTTTTTTGGCTTAGACATGACGTATATAGCTTTAAGACAAATATAACCAGTGCTGACGAAACAAAACAAATTTTTAAATCCATTACAGTTATTGTTTTGTGAAGTACTCGGTACACTGAACGAATGTAAACATAAAACACGCAATATAAGAGAGATAATCGACGTTGAAATTGCCTCAACCTGTATGGTTAAACAATCTGATACGATTTAATGAAAAAATCTCTTCTTCACAGAATGGTTAAAAATTGGAATTTTATTTATAAAGGATCTGTTTTACGATCAATTATTTTTAAATAATAGTCTTGTTAACAGATATAGCTTGATTTGTGAATAAAATATGGAGTTAACGAACAGTATTCAAGCTCAAAAGTTCATTTAAACAATACAAATCAGGAGCAGAGCAAACACGGACCTCCAAAACATCAGAGGTGGGATTGGGTGCCATGGAGCAGTGAGCATCTCCTACCCACTGGTCACACCCGCCGTGTGCTCCTTGTCGTGATAGGGAAAACGGGAAAATCAGTAGATAATCAGGGTGTAAATAATGGCCTCACAATCAGTATGAAAGACGTCAGTCAGCATTTGACTTAATGATAGATTGTATTCATGACAAGGTCATTGTATAGACCAAAGAACTTGCAAAATGGTGACTTTAAACGAGACTGTTGATAACGTTGCTTCATCAACTTGCTTGTCAATAGCTTGCCTCGTTTTAGAAATTGTTCATACGTAGAGCATGCTCTTGCGTATCGAATCAACTGGGAGAAAAAAAAACCATATGCAGATGATAAGGGTATATGGCTGCATAAGTAAGGGAAGCTGCATATTGAAAAATTGTAGTCATCACGCTTTGTCATAAAGCTTTGTTGTTAGGTTACCATTAAATGCTTTTTCTGGTAAAATATTCAACTATTAAACAGAAGTGTCACCTCTTCATTTTTGTGTTGATTGAGAATGTTCAACAAAGATATTGATAATGATTTGGAGTTTATCGATGTATTGATGTGTCTAGCAAGCAGGTATCCTAATTTTGATTTTACGGTAGTAGGCCCTTTACCTCTAATTATATAATCTTGTACAGATCTGAAGCTTCATAATGACTGAGTGTAGAGGAGGGCTGCTACACTGGGATTGATCACTACTTCCATTGTAATTCTACTTCCATATTGTGTGTCGATTTTAAGTGTTGCAATGTTCAAATCGTTTACATTTCGTCTCGTTTCTCCAAAGGTTGCGATACTAAGGTTTGGAACACCTGTAGTTTTCATTTGAAGTCTTTTCCGAAGGATTTTAATTATTTTTTTTTTAACTTTCATCTAGGAGTATGTTGGCAGATTCAGAAATGTTTTTCGACCATATGGGCCAACTGCTGTTTTCAGTAATACCTTGGCGCGACTTTATGTTACCATAGACGACAACGTATGCATGTCTGATGAACTTTAAGACTGTGTTGTTTACTTCAATACTCTTGGTACTAATAGTCCATGTAAGGGTTCCGTAAGATTTTGTTGAACTGTTCGCTTTCACTATTTTATTTTTATCGCACAAGGATATGTCCACAATAATGAGTCAGACTTGTTATGAAATTAAAGGAGAATCAAAGTGACTCAGGTGAGCCTTCTGGCCTATCGGTCTCTCGTTTGTTTTCCCATACGCCGACGTATGGCATACCAAAAGTTTACAATAATGCCTGCAAAAAATATGCTAGAATCTATAATATTAATTATTTTATCAATTAAATCATTTGGAAATTTATCATAAGCTTCCAAATTTCAAAAAAAGAGCGAAATATGTATTTGTATATATGGCATCAGATGTGGCATCGGAATGCAAATTCCTTGTCATAAAATAATAATCCCATGAGTGATGTTCACTTTCAAATCCATAAAACGAGATGTAAAATCGTTTTAGTGTAGATACGAAACAAGATGAATAGTTTCATATAAATAAGCATTTGTTTCACTTTTGATTTGATTTTATGTCATTTCAATGTCATTTTTAGATTGTTCAATTTCATTTTTTTTTTTATGATTCAATGTTAAACATAGTTTTAATGTCATACTTTATTCTTTTTTTCTGATATATATGTATACACGTACCAGTAATTTCCAATTACTATGCATATATGTATTTGAACACAGATATTTTTATGTGTTGTGCAGTGTCTCTTACTTACCTTTATGAATATATATACTGTCTGCAGATGAATATATGTCTACACTTAGCGTATTATTTTAATATCTAGATATACTCGAGTATTTACACAGGAGTATGCTTTTTTTAAGATCGACGTACAGTCAAAGTTAGATCCTTTATTTTCAGTGCACAATCTTAAATTTTATTTCACAAAAAATCAAGTTTTTGACACGTTAGAAGTTTTTTTTTCTTATTGATTTATTATTAGGAAATGTGACTAAGGATAGATTGCAAAGCTTAAACCTTTGTTTGAGAAGCATCAATGCGAGTGAAAAAATGAAAAAAAGTGAAGACTACGAAAAGTGATTGATCTCAAAATTCTTAAAAACAAAACAAGTATTTGAACAGAGCATAAAACTTGGACCTTTGGGATCTCCATAGGTGGGATCAGGTGCCTAGGAGGAGTAAACATCCCCTGTTGACAGGTCACACCCGTCGTGAGCCTTATGTATTGATCAGATAGAAATTGAGGTTATTCAAGATTTCATTTAGCAATCATTTATTCATGGGTGTATACTTGATAAACGCAGCCCAAGCTTAAGGGGTTAACGTTTTTCATTTAGGACGAGTCAAAGAAAGCAAACATGACCTGAGAGGATGAAGTACAACTTTACAGATGTTTTAGAAAATGAGATCAAAAGCATTTAAATATGCTATATGTCCTTCTTTAATTTATTGATATATATTATACTAGATGAAATCCCGCGCAAGCGCGGGGAATTGAATTTATACCACTACCGACAGAAAATATATTGTAGTTTCTACTGACAGCCTACAGGCTTATAGCAGGACTTTGTTCAAAATCTCACATGAAGTTGATGTACATCTCCACCCCACCCCCTCCCTCTTTTGTAAAAACTTTATTGTGAAACCTGTTATACTATGTTATGGATATTGTACTTCAGATGCTCTTATTTCATTTCCGTCAAGGACAAAAGCAGCGAATATGCAAATTTTACTGATAAATTGATTTTTTTTTGGGGGGGGGGGGGTTAAAAATTCATAGGTACTTGGGTTTGGTTTATAAATAAGTTTGTACCTTATTGATATGTAGAAAAAAAAGGTATTTACCTTTTTTTACAATCAATAAGGTACATACATATTTATAAACCAATACCCAAGTACCTGTGTAAAAATTAGGTTGTAACACCCTATGAATAGGCCGAGTATTGATACAAAATACTGTATTCAAAAAAAACAAAAACAAAACAAAACAAATGTATTGATTAAAGCACAAAATTTTACATCTTTAATTGTATTTGAACAATACCCTCTTCATTAACTTTCTCCTTTTCATGTAAGCAAGTTTATTACGAAGTACAAATTGTACTTCGGGTTCGTTTCCACGATGCTCTCCGTATCGAATATATCCAAATTTTACCGATAAATTTATCATAAAAACCTACTACATACATGTATATGTAATAGTATTTCGATATATAAATATATTCACAACTTATAGTGTTATCAATGATTTACCATTATTTCAATGACCATTCAAACACAATTTTTTTTTATAAAGAAAAAAATATGCAGCTATAAATCGCCTCGTTTTTCTTTTAACATCGGGCTCGATGCTATATGATGTTCTAGAAGCTTCCGTCAATATTAAGACCGGTGAATGACGAAAATAATTTGCACCTTTCCCTATTTAATCGATTTTCACAACTTATTTCTTTTACATCATTTAAATCAAGTTTTCATTGAATAATTCAGTGATGACGTTTTATGAAATAAATAAACGATTGATTGTTGTCAGTTTTATTAGATATTGTCAGTAACTTAGATCCGCCAACCGGAAACGCCACCGTACTCACGTTTTTGCTATGTCATGGCTGTTTATAGAAAATGAAAGTAGACTTTTAATTTAATGTACGATACTTACTATGCAAGTTAAATCTAAATATAGTTTACGGACATCATCTTGTATATAATGTATTGTTAGAGGAGTAAGTAGGAACTCTGGTGCACCCATTTCGGAGTTTATTTGCAAAATTTATTAATTTATAAGTATAGATACTATTATTTTTGTTAATATGAACCAAATATTACACAGAAACCTTTGTTAAATTTATCATGATGAATCACAATCATCTTTATTAATATTTACATCACTTGCATGAAGAAAAAAACCCTTCTATTTAGATAATGATACAATAAGGACCGTTTTCAGCTGTTTGATAATAGCTTCCTGGAAGGTGAAAATTTAAAGTTCTAATCGTTCTAGAATACAGAATTTCGCAATAACCTGAATGACATCTTTTACAGTATGTAGTTAGATCAAAGCACAGTTTTTATATGTGTTACACAACGGGTGAGAGTGCGCACCTCTTTCCTAAAACGCAGATTGATCTCATGTTTTGTATACAACTACATAATTTTGGACAAGGCCGTAGGAATAAGACTGGAAGTTTATTTTTAAATCGTCATTGTTAAAAATTAAGCACAAATGTGAACGTCATGGTTAACAATATAACGTACAACGTTAACGGACTAAATCGTGAAAGTATCACACAAGGCGTATCAGGTAAGAATAATGACCATTTGTTGTCGATTTGAATCATAATAATTTGCCTTATAGACCAATCAATTCCGAGTTAAAACCGGCCAGTCCATGTGATATATATAAAATGAAATTTAAAATTAGTGTTCTGATACAATAGAACTTTAATGATTGAAATCGAAGACATATGACTCTACCTCAAACTGTTAAAACGATTATGCAACACAATGGAATAATGAACATTTATTAATATATAAATGTTAACGCTTTCCCCTTGACGTCTCTTCTTTCTTAAAGATGACCGTCTTGATATAAAAGCTTTTTTAGATTCAAATTGGAAAACTCTTTGTTTCTTTGAGTTCCCTGACTTTAAATGACCACGGAACGTTTCAGATGAGAGCTGAAACATATTCTAAATAAGTCTTAATCTTAATTTAATGTTAAAGGAAAATTGTTATAAACTTATGATAATGGGCAACGAAACCAATCGCTGTTCTTTAGACATCTTTATGTTTTGAAATGAATTACTTAAATTGAAGTATTCTTTGGAACAGTTAAAACTGTGCAGAGGAGAAGAAAAACTCTGCTGATTTTACGCATACTCTCCATTGCTACGCTCATGGTTTCCGTTTGTAATCTTCCTGTTGGAATTGTAATACTTCTCTACAGAGGGGACATGGAATTTCCTCTCACTTCCGGAGCTCCAATATGGTCAGGATTACTGGTATTCTATTTTCATTTGATGTTCAGTGTAAGCAATGATGTATGTAAATTTCTTCAAATATATCTCCAAACAGCACCATGAATACATGTATTTCTGTGAGTACCCTTGATGTATTGTAAAGTGATTATGAAGAGACATAATCAAAGTGATTATAAAAAATAAAATAAATATCGTTTTTTTAAGTGAATGGTAAAAAATTATTTCCTTGAACGAAGTTTACTTGTTTAATCTTTTCACTTTTGACTTATTCTTTCTTTTCTACTTTATAAATGTATATACCCACATACATATTAGGTCCATTTATTTCCCAGCAGCAATAAAAAATTGCTATTTATTTATTTTTCTGACATTAGAAAATCTGCAAATACAGATAAAATATAACTTGTTAAGACTGACGTCACTCTGTTTTAAATTATGTAATCAAATCCACAGTCTTATCAATCGTTCTTAATGAATGGATGTTAGAAAAATTCGTGCTTTTTTAAATCAGTTTAATATCATTACTTTTATGAGGCTTTATACTTAATTATCATCATGCTTCACTCTCCATTCTGATTTGTATATAGAAAATTTGATACCAAAAGTGAAATTCTAGGTCCTCATCTGTTGCATACATGGTCTCAAAGTGTCCAAGATGGACGTCAATTACGAAACAGTGCCTTCCCCTCTTGCTTCTTTTCATGTGAGTCACACTTAAAATAGTTCTTATTTTCATTTCATCTCTACAAGTAGAAAATCACAAAATGCAAAATACATTGCACGCTTGTCTGCCGATTTGTCTTTTAAAAAGTTTTTTTTAATTGCTACTCCTCCTGCAACTATGGTCCGATTTCAAAAAATGTTGCACTCTTTTGTCTGTTTATCTGTCTTTACTGGAAGACTGTATCAGCATACAAAATTTTTGATTTCCCTGAAAGGTGTGTCATGTTTACTGAGATATTGTAATCTATAAAAAATTATGATCTTTGAAAAGTGCAGCACCAGGTACATTTTTCAGTTGACTTATCAAATCTTAGTACACAGTTAGAATTTATCAAAACTTATACAATGTTGTCATTTTTATTTTTCATTTTTAAATATGGTGCTTCCGTGTTTACTGAAATTGAAATTCTTACCGTGACTTGAATATGTTTGTTTATTTCAAGAACATCGCTCTTTTTACAGTAATAAATTTTGGTACACTGTGCTAGGAAAATATAAAGATACATACTTCTGTAAAGGTAGAATTAAAAAAAAATGTAACAAGTCCAAGTGCATATTTTTCTCTAAAACTTTTATTTTAGAAAAAGTAAACCAATGAAGTTACAGCCTCCAGAACGACTACTGGTTGTTAAACATGTCATGTTTGCATTATACACGTTTTTACTTTCACTATCAATTCATAATCGGTAAAGGTCTATCATGATTTATATGCAATGCATAAATCATTTACAAATTTGTAATTACATACTTTTTACTTTGTACAGCTGAAGTCTTACCATAACATAAACCGAGTGAGCGTGTTAACAAGTCTTGCGTGTATTGCCTTCTCCGCTGTCTATGTTTTATATTGTGGACGAGATTCCTTTAAGCCTGACTCTTGTCCAACCAGTGAAAAGGAGGAAATGATATCAAATTTATTGGCGATATTAATCTCTTTCATTATGATAATTTGTAGCATCATGGGTGTTATTCTATTTCGGTTAAATGGCAAGGTATTAGGACTGAAAAAGCTTTTGGAAAAGGGCTCCAAAGAAAATGGTAAACCCAGACAAGATCAAGCCGAAGTCACCACTGGTACTGTAAGACCTGAAAGTGTAGAACTTCAGCTACATAGAATTTCAGATCTTCACAGATTTGGACCACCGCCGTGTAATAGTAATTTTTCCTATTCAACTGAATATGATTACAGGACGACAGATATCGAAAATACTTCCCACTTTCAAAGAATTGGGTCAAGATTGGATTATAATTTTGTAGATCTATCGGATCTACCACATCATATGATGAATATCGAAGAAAAATATGCTTACAATGATAGATAAAATAAACCAAGCACCGTCTACCAAAAGTGTTAAATTGATGTTGAGAAAAAAATCAGCTCTGTTTTAATGAAAAAAAAAATGGAACGTTTGATCGTTATAAGCAGTACCCATTCACCACCTTCCTTCAAAGCAATACATACATGTATATGTAAAGAGTCAAATCTATCATCTGGATACCTAGACAAATATATAAAATTATTACTTCTACATGTATATATATGCACATTGTTTTTGGTTCATTTGGATCTTATTCGATCTTGGCGTATTCTTTCGACAGGGCATATTATCGTGAATATGTGTCTGTTGTCAATTGTCTTTAATTAAAAAAGAGGCTATAATTTAAGTTTTCAAGAAATTGAAATCACAAACAGGAAATCCCGCAACTTTTTATCTGTATAGGTTAATCTCTGTGTTTAAGTAGCAAATGCTTCAATTGATGTCCTTTACAGAATTAGACGGGAAAACATTTAAATTGTAATTTTTTTCTTTATATACCTTTAATTTATGCGTGATCTGAGAAAATGGCTTAGAGAGAGGAAGATGTTGAGAGAAAATGAATCCTTTTTTATCGGTATTTTCAGTGACTTCATCTTGGGAAACCGATGCAAATGGTTATATAAGTTCAAATCTACTGATGAGCCCGCAAGGGGCGAAAGCGCTATATATATTTAATATATATTAAATATTATCTTATTTTATATATATATCTATATATATATATATATATATATATATATATATATATATATATATATATATATATATATACGTCTTCCGGTATTTTAAAAGTTCGTCGTTCCTCTATTTACACATGAATTTTTCGCTTTATACGCTAATGACTTTCCAAAAGAAATTTAATTTATAGTCAAAATTACCCGATACAATTAACCGTACTGGACAAAATTTGACAGAATGGCCTTTGAACTTGACAATTCTGGAAAGGAATAAAAGTCTTTTACTCTTTTCAGAGGGCAATGAACCTTATAAAATCAGAAAAAAGAACTTTTAGATATATAGAAAATTAAATTGTTAAGGATATTTACTTAAAACTTTGATAATGATTTGCTAGCTGGTAAATTGTAAAAGGATAATTGAAAAAAAAGTTATTTGTTTGGTTGTCTATAAAAGAATGCAGATAACTTTCATAATATAGATAAAACTGATGTCATTATCAAATGACACCTAGAATAAACTTGCGTAATTAAGCAACTAATATTACTTTAACGAAAGACTTCTTAACTCCCAACCCCTAGAAATTTAAATTTATTTTGTGTTTTACAAGCATATATATCATTATGACCAAATTAAATGCATGTGCAAATAAGTAGAAGTTAAAAAAAATATACACTGTCCATGATCACCAATATAAACACCATTGACAGATAAACCATGAAAGTGCAACTCAACATGCATCAAATACATGTAAGAATGGGGAGTTTTTTTCCCGTTGTAGTCTTTTTGTCATCCTAATTAAACCTCACTAGGTATATGGAACATCATTATATTGCCATAATTATTTAGATCAATCGATTATCTAAACTAGTGGATAATCCTGATTACATTTTCTGTCAGATTTCTTGGTACCTACACGACATTTAGGACTAAAAGGAAGTGGAGGATTTATGCATTATATTTACCGTAAATTTTCCAAAGCTTTTCCAAAGCTTTTCCAATTCAATACAAGAAGATAGCAATTTATTTTAAAAACTACTTTACTTTAAATTTAGAAGTAGAAGGCGGTAGTCTTCAGGAAAATACACATCTCTACAAGAATAAATCATCTGTCTTCATTTCATAATAGTCAATTCAACACAACAAAAAAGGGAAGGGTGCCTAATGAATTTTATTTATTGATCACATGTGTACATCTTTGCCAGTAGACAACACTCTCTGAATAATATTTTATTATATCCAACACTAAGTGATGAATTAATACACACATGAGTTTTCATTTGTAAAATGAATTTTAAAAATTGTTACAATTTAATTAATAAAATTTTGTCATTGAGATAACATATTTTACATTATAAAACACTTCTTTTTATCGCATTATGTACTATATTTTAGTATAATATTGTTGACAATGTTATAAGTTGATGGAAAAAAAAATGGTATAAATCAATATATATATATATATATATATATATATATATATATATATATATATATATATATATATATATATATATATATATATATATATATATATATATATATATATATATATATATAAACTAGGCAAAACATGATATAAAATAATTTTTTCCATTTTTTTTAGTAAAATATTATATTTATTTAACTTATTTTGTGTTTTCTTTCTACTCACCAAAGACTCAGAGATTAAAAAACACTTAAGGTCTGTCAACATGTTCCTCGAATATCTGTTTTGAATCTCTTCATATTAAATAAAAAAATATGATAATTATCATTATCTTTTGATTTTCTTATCTGTTTTCAAAATTGCTTATAAAATAAATACACGAAAATTATGATATTGAGAATCCCATTAATTTTAAGGAGGCTTACATGGTATCTTCCACATATGTCTCGTAAGGTACCTCATATTTTTGTGAGGAAATTGTTAAAGTAGCAATATTTCAATGGCAGTTTTTTTTTTGGGAACAATTTTATGTTATTGAGGAACGAGTAGTCTGACATAACCTGTTAATCAAAAACCATGTGAAATCCTATGTTTAAAGATTATTTTATCCTAAATATACCCTTAATGTTATACAGAGATAATCAACCAATCATTTATTTGAATTTCTACATCATTTAACAATAGTATATAGAGACTTACAACATAAGGCTGATTTCATATATAGCAATAGCATGCGTAAATGATAAAGAACAAAAATTAGTACGTTGCTATGTGAAGTATGGGAATTCTAGGCCGGGGAGCATATTTTATTTATTTTCTTTATAAACGAACACATTTTTCTAAGAAAGCAGTGTTTTTTTTTTACTATTCATGATGTTTTTAAAACTAATTATATTCTTAAATCCTATGTGTTTTTCTGTTAAGCATAGCATTCTTTCTTTTTGTAGTGAACTGCACATTAGTATACATTAATATACTAGTATAATGAAATATATTAAGCCAGCGTCCGCTTTCAATTGGAAAATGATGGTTATAAGTTCGGAATCTACAAAATGTAGTTAAATCCTTTTTTTTTTTTTTTTTTTGGATAAAATATTAAAATAGTTTTCAAACTTTTATACGTCTTTGTATACTCAATAATTTAATGCTTTAGGCGAGGTTTGAAGAGTTGATTGCCAACTTTGTTTGAATTGATCAATTAATGTCAGTTTAACTTTCGTCTTTAACCATTTTGTATTATTTGAGCTTTGTTCAAGTCAAATATAAGATAGTCCACAATTATTAAAAATATTTTTAATATTTTCAAACCAACAGATTTTTCCTCCTATTTCTTGATTTGTAATAAAGCCTAATTTATAACATAAATTTGCAATTTCTGTCTCCTTTCCAGTAATCAATTTTGACCAGTAAGATATCATGCGTGTTTTTATTTGAATTTCCATGGGGTATCGAACAAGTTCACCATATATCATGAAATCTTGGGTTGAATCTTTTAAATGGAGCAAAAGTTTTCAGAATTTTAGGTGAACCCTTTCTATAATTGCATTATTTGAAAATCCCCACACTTCACATCCATATATTAATATAGGTTGAACGATTTTACATGTATCAAACAAATCGAGTTGACACTGTATTGATAGATTATGTAATCTTCCTTTCTTTAATACTTCCTACTATGCTTTTGTTCCTTTTTCAGCTATTTTCTTTTTTGCTATTTTAAAAGAGCCGGATTTACATTCTGAGGTGGTTGAGCATAATAGTTGTCCCATCCGTGAATGTTAATTTCGTTTCACATAATTTACACCTCATGGATTTAAATTAAATGTATGTCCCATCTGTGAATGTTAATTTCGTTTCACATAATTTACACCTCATGGATTTAAATTAAATGTATGGAAATAACGAATAGTATTCAAGCTCAAAAGTCCATTAAACAATACAAATCAGGAGCAGAGCAAACACGGACCTCTAAAACATCAGAGATGAAATCTGGTGCCATGGAGGAGTAGGCATCCCCTGCCGATATATATGGATTTAAATTAAATATATGGAAATAACTCCTGAGTAGTTGAATTCTGTTACTACTTCTATGAACTTATCATCATATTGCATCTGTAAATTTTCTGCACGTCTATCTTAACTAAATATAAATATTTTCGATTTATCAGTTTTTATTTATAAATTCCATTTTTTGCAGTATTTACAGAAGGTATCTAGTTGTTTTTGTAGTTCTTCAGAAGATTCTGCCACCAGTACAGTGTCATTTGCATATAGAATTGCAAATAATTTAAAAATATATATATATTTAATTTGTTTTCAAACATCTCCGATATAGTTGATAAACCTTCAATATTAGGTGCATCTAAGCAATCATGTAAAACGCGCAGATTTATTCTAAATTCATTACCAAGGGCACTCTTTCAGACCAATATTTAGGCTTGATATTTAAAATACTTTCCTACGACAACCCAAGTTTGTGCTCCAATTAACTTTTTTTCGTGTGGCAGTTTAAAAGATATTTTGACGCGTATGTTTCAAAACAATTACTTATGAAGTTTATATTTGTAGAAACATAACAATCACTTAGCACCGCACACATTTTAGATGTGTGTTTCCAATCTCCTTAATCTTTGAAAGTACATACAAATTCCTTTTTAATATATAAAGCGATTTCGTTCAAATTTGGTTCTATGTCATTTTTGATATGATGCAATGTCATTTTGAATTTAGTTTAATTCATACTTGTTTATTTCTAATATTCATAAATGTACCAGTAATCTGAAATACAAGTATTTAATAACAGGTACTTGTATGAGGCAGGAAATGTCTGTCGATTGGATGTGAATTGGGCAATTTTTATTGTTTACTGTGTGGTGTGACATGCATCTGGAAGAAAAGTATCATTTTTGTTATATATTGTTTTATTGTAGACTATTACTGGAAGTTTAAACTAATATGAAATATTTAATGCATAAAAGAGTTTTTCTAAAGCATTCTTGGGAATGGTATTTTAGAAATTTAAATTGTGTTTACACTTACTCTTTGATATATGGTAAAAATATTTACAAATATCAAAATTTCACGATAAGAATAAATTTTCCAAACTTCCAATGGGATCTCCTTGACACTTTGTCAGAATGGATTAAATGTATCAGATGTATGTTAAAATCGCGCATTAAAAGATTGAGAGGCAATATGAGAACCATATATCCTTCTGTATTCAATAATCCAGAAGTGAAAAAAGAATTAGATAGATTACATGATCAGTACGTACTGGTCCCTGCTGACAAAGCAGGTAACAACATTGTCTTTGTTTGTAAGGCTCATTATATTAAATGTATTTTAGAGGAACTTGGATTTAATTCTTCAAGTGGTAATCCAACTTATACTCATAGTTACCTTTCTATGGAAGAAATTCTTCAAAATCATATGTCAGTTTTGAATATTTTTAATATTCCAAACAACCAAAATGAATTCGAATTACCATATTTATATTGGATTCCGAAACTTCATAAAAATCCTTACAAACAAAGATACATAGCGGGTTCCAGTAAATGTTCAACCAAGCCTCTATCTTTACTCCTCACTAAGATATTAACAGTGGTGAAGGAGAAACTTCAAGAGTACTGTGCAATAATATATTCGAGAAGTGGTGTAAATCAGGCTTTTTGATATCATTGATAGCTGCTTTTTCATTAAAAATGGAACTCGTAAATATACTTACCTTGTCATTGGTCATTTGCAAAATTATTTTGTTAAAAAACATTCTGATTGTACACACAAGTACTCTGAAGTTGACATTAAAAAGATGCTTGAGTTTCTGATTGACAATATCTATGTGGTTTTTGGAGACCAGGTCTTCCAACAATCTATTGGAATTCCTATGGGTACCAATTGCGCCCCGTTATTAGCAGACCTTTTTTTGTATTCATATGAAGCAGAATTTGTCCAAAATCTTGTACGTGAAAAGAAGAAAACACTTGCTGTGGCGTTCAACTCGACATTTAGGTATATCGACGATGTATTGTCAATTAACAATGGCTATTTTCATTCTTATGTCGATACGATATATCCTGGTGAACTTGAGATAAAAGATACCACAGAGTCTGACACATCTGTTTCATATTTGGATATTTTACTTGAAAAAGACGTTAATGGTAATTTAACAACCAAGCTTTATGATAAACGTGATGACTTTAACTTTTCAATCGTCAACTTCCCTTACTTATGCAGCAATATACCTTCATCACCTGCATACGGGGTATATATATTTCTCAGTTGATTCGATACGCAAGAGCATGCTCTACGTATGTACAATTTCTAAAACGAGGTAAATTATTGACAAATAAGTTAATGAAACAAGAATATCAGCTGTCTCGTTTAAAGTCATCATTTCGTAAGTTCTATGATCGATACAATGACCTTGTCAGCAAATACAATTTAGCATTGAGTCAAATGCTGACTGACGTTTTTCATACTAATTGTTAGGCTATTATTTACACACTGAATTTTCGACGGATTTTTCCGTTATTTCCCGATCATGACAAGGAGCACACGACGGGTGTGACCGGTCGGCAGGGGATGCTCACTCCTCCATGGCACCTGATCCCACCTCTGATGTTTGGAGGTCCGTGTTTGCTCTGCTCCTATTTTGTATTGTATAATGGACTTTTGGGCTTGAATACTGTTCGTTATCTCCATATATTTCATTGTAGTACAGACAAAGTACAACTAGTATCCTTTCCGAGCTCGCTGGATGTCAGAGAGATCACAACCTGAACGGATTGTGACAGGATTCCGTATTCGGAGTTCTTGCCAAGACCGCAGTGTGTATCTTAACGTAATGAATATCAAATTCATTAGATAATACACAACTGCTTATAATCTATGTCTTTGGTTATCTTAACGGGGATTTATATTTTAGCCTCTTTGGTGAAATTCATTGTGGAATTATTAATGAATTCTTTTAAATTGACACTGTGACGGACAAACGCGAAAATTGACAACAGTAGAATTTTTGCATGACACATGCAAATTTGGTTCAGTTCTTGAAGATATTAGGTTTCAGAAAATTACAGGTTTCAGAACCTAAAAAATCTAGTTTAATGGAGACAAATAAAAGTAAAAAAAAAAATCTTTGTATAACCCATCACAAAAATATTGCTTCACTTCTTCCACTTTATTTTACGCATGCGCTGAAAAATTGAAGAATTTACCATGGTTTCAATTCCATAGATATAAATGTCGGATGACTGAGAATTTTGATACAATATTCAAAAAAGATGGTCATAACTTATTCCTTACTTCTGCTTGCCCCAATTCAATGTTGTTTACAAGTTTCACGCTAAAAATAAAGGACGCGTGACCTTGACATCGTTGACATTGACGATAAAAACAAACCGATAAATACAACATTTGTTTTTCTGGCACTTATATTTTGCAGTTTTTTCTTGCTTTACAGTGCAGTTAAGTTGTCAAAACTTCGCTATATTCATATTTCACAGAAATCTTTTGTTTTGTGATTTAAATTTCTTAAAAGAAACACATGGTTTTGACTCATCATGCAACTTAAAGAATATGATTTTAGATAATAAATAAAGAGCAGTTGTCAATTAAATCCTAAACATTTTAACTTTCAATTTACAATTATACTTTAAATTTTACCCCAGAATTGTGAGAAAAGCACATTTATTTACTTTACAATGCGAAACTCCAAATGTACACTCGCATGCAACGTGAGAATAGTATACGTAGAAGCATTTTTGGGTAAATCCAAAATCCGTGATCCATCATCTGTAGAATCTGTCAATTTCTTGGGTAACTCTGTAATATGAGTAACGATTTTATAAATAAATTGATTAACATAATGTTTGTGAAGGAACATTACGTCTTATGACAGTCATTTAAGTTGCATAAGTGACAGCTTTTGTGAAGTAACATTAATTCTTATAGCAACCATTCAAATAGCATGAGTGTAGGAAAGCCAGCCAGAAAAGATCTTATTTGTCATTTAGACAAATGTGACTTCAGAGGGTGAAAATGCAATTTTACAGGGATTTGAAAAAGAATTCAGATAATTTGCACATTTTAAATTGTTTTATATTAATTTATAAATATTTGATACACTTATTGTTTTTCTTGTTTCCTGAAGTAAAATCATAATCTGAAGCTTTTACAATAATTATCATCACAGTTCATATATGACATCTATTAATTAAAATGTGGTATCACTTATATAAAGAAAAAGAAAACTTGCATTCAGAACATTAAAAAAGACCGTTTTCAACTCTTCGATGACTTTCAAGATGATTCTTTATTTTAAACGTAAAGTAATGATCGTTCTGCTTGATGAACAAGAATGTAGAATTTCGAAATAGCATTGATGACATCTTTAACAGGATGTTGTTACGAACAAAGCGCATTCATGAATGGCTTACACAACAGGTGTGAGTGCGTACGTTCTTGTTTTTAAATGCACAATGGTTTCACGTTTTGTAAACAGAAGTATTATTTTGATGAAGTCCGTATGAAGAGGAATGGTTCTTCATTTAAACTCGATATTGTTTAAAATTTAGCACCGATTTGAAAGTCATGGTGTACACCGTTAACGGATTATATCGTGACAGTGTTGCAAACAGCGTATCAGGTAAGAATTATTACATTTTGTTTTCAATTGGATCATAAGCTTTGTTAGAACCAGTACATTTGATCTTTACAAGGTGAGGTCTCTTCTTTTGATGATACAATTAACACTTTTGTTAACTAAGAAATACATATGCTGAATTTTTTTCTCTGTCTAAACGCCATTTGGTTATCGAACTAATAGTTGACCACATTCATTGTATTCTGTATTTAGTAATATCGAATAAATTCCCTTTATATTTGATAAAAAATTTGTATTTTATAATTAGAAATATCACATATAGTATAGAATATAGTATATAATTCACATACAATCCGAATTGAAACATAATAGAATACAAACGGAATTAAAATTATTCAATGTGAATTATCGAATATAAAATAAAATTACAGAAAACAAATAGAAATTTATAACATACATATCAAATAATTGTATTAAACAAATTAAAAAAGTCATACAATACAAATAGTAAAATAAACTATGCAAATTAAGTAATATTATAGAATACAAAGGCTAGATTCAACAGGTAGATTTTATCTAGAATATTTGATGGTTTGAATAACAATCATGGAGATGGTTTATATAAGCATAGCCTGCTGCCCAATCCATTTATGTTTTATTACATAATAGAATGTGTTCAAATCAAACACATTTTACCCCTCATACTGTCAATGATTATGCAACACAAAGATGATATAAATATATACGTATACATTATCATTCCCAGCTGCACTTTTGGGTGATTCCAAAAGCTATGACTGGCAAATTGATTTTTTTTTTTTTAAAAAAAATCAACTTAGCATAGTTTTCAATTATAACGTCATACTGTTATACACACCAGTTAAAATTTCTGAAGTGACGATAGACATTTGCATAAAAAGATTTTCAGAATTTTTATTTGTAGAACTTCATTTGAAAAAAGAAAATATTACTTCATCCTAAAAGACTTCCTGAAATACATAATCAAAAGAAAATATAGTTTTTAATCCTTCAGACTTGTCAGGGAAGTAATGATTGGCTCCAAACCATAATTGAATTTCTTCTTTTTTATATATGAAAAAAAGGTTTTTTTTTTTGATGTTTTCTTGCTCATTAATTATTTCAATTCTAGTTTGAAAGTTTTGAAATGAAAGAAATATGATACAATAAATTCCCCAAAATTTATATTTTTGTCCATTTGGTCAATTCTTCAAATCTAGTCCCCCCCCCCCCCAAAAAAAAGAATTTTGATTAGTTTTCTAACAAAAAATAATAGATTTAGAAGTTATTCTATTTTAAATTTTGTTGCACTCCTGACATCTGATATGCTTTTCATTAAACATTAAAAATCATGAACACAATAACTCATTCAAATTTTGTAAAGCAGTTCGTCGTTTTGATATTTCTTATCATTTACGACAAGTTTTACAAATTTTCTTGATTTTAAAATATGATTATTTGCTTATTTGATAATTTTTTTTTAATTGATTAGTGATGAAAATTATTCTGTGAACTGAATGTAAAATGTCCAAAAATGTCTGTAATTTGTTGATAGACATGATTTCAACTATAAATATAATATCAAACATCTTCTGTAATTTATTTTTTAGTTAATAGAGATCTAGATGAAGGTCATTGATGATTAAAACAGTTATCCCACTCTCGACTGCAGTAAAATTTAAAATCAAAACCATAGAACACAAAAATTCATTAAGTTAAGGCAATATCAAGTTCTTACAAAACTGTGTAATATTTATAGTCCATACTTCATGGTTAAAAAAATGTTTAAACTTGGCTTAATATCTTGAATTATTCCTTATAAATGTTAAAAACTTAGTTAAAATATATTTAGTAGATAAAAGTATATTTTATAGGACATATTACTTCGTGGGACAAACACTGTTAGCTGTTGAGGTCAACCAGAAAATTCTACTCATCATTTTTTGTAAATATTTATTCTTATTTATCATCGATAATTCTAACATTTCTGTTGCACTCCTGATCACCAAGAGCATGTGAGACTTTAAAGTAGAAATATTGTAAAGGATTAATTACAGCAGAGCATGTTCCGTTGTTTATTGAATTTGCGGTTGAACTATTTGAATTTTATTACAATTTTTCAGTGGTTTTTGTTATTTCATTAAAAAAAATTAAAGATAAAAGCACATGTGGATTGATAAAATTGAAAAAGAGACAGATTTCACTAATTAAACCGTCAATAATTATGTACTTAACTATTCAAATAGACGTTTATTGATCAAAGAATACTAAGTATGAATAGAAGTCATTTCATCATTGAACTTAAAAAAATGCGTTGCCCTCCTGACCGTAGAAGATGGATCTGAAACTCAGATAGATACTGAAATTAATAGATTTATTTGATAAAAATGTCCTTTTTGTCTTTTTTCTAAAATAGAAAGCAAAAAATCATATATTGATAAAAGTTTTTCCAAGTTGGGGAGCTAACCATCATGCATAGATATTTGACTCTCATTAATGCTGCTGATGAGTCACATCACATTCTTAAATTGTATATCAGATTTTGTTTTACACTTTGAAGTCTTTTTTTACTCAATTGAGATACAGATTTTTTTATTTAATCAAGTGTTTCTTTGGCAACTTTATATTTTTTTCTGTTGCACTCCTGACACAGCATAATATTTTTTTAGCATCAACCATGACCATAACTTGGTTAAACAAGGTCACATTCATCGGATTTAATTTAAAGTTAAATATAATGAATTTTATAAGGAAAGTCATTATGTCCAACATAAAGCAAAGAGTAAGCTGTTGTTTATTTATTATCTATGGATGTCATTTTTAAAAATATATTTAAGGGTCAAAAACTGTAGTTTACGAATGCTTAACCAAGTTAATCTGCCTATAAATAAATATAAATGATAGTTTTGGTTGAAAAATATACATTATCATTAGTAAACTATAATTCTCATTCATTAAGCAAAGTAAGAGTTGACTATCATAATCAAGAAACTAAAATAAACAGAGAATCTTTTTTTTTTTTTTTTTTTTTTTTTTTTTGTATCTGTAGCTTAGTTGTAAACTATAGTTTTGATCTCCCAAAACTACATAAATATTGTCAATCAAAAACTCAATCATCTGTTTAATATCAACTAAGGAGTACCTGTGCGTACAATCAGAATGTTTTCTGACAAAATAATTTTGCAAATGACCACTGACAAGGTAATTAATTTTTTTTTTTTTTTTTTTTTTTTTTTTTTTTTTTTTTTTTTTTTGCAGAGCGTCCTTAAAATAGAATGCATATAGTGTTCTGATCAAGGATTACAGAATATTGCTAAAGTGTTATAAGTCTTCTTGTGCATCCAAATAGAAACCTTCTAAAATATTTGTCGAGAAATTATATATATTGATATGATTAACCTGTTATTCGATCGAAACGTCTTGCGATTAACCGATTGACAATTCCATTTCGATTGTCATCCCCGATAAAGACAGAAAAGTGAATTTTTCTTTAAAAATATAAGCTGGAAAAATTCTTAACTACATTTCATTATGCTAAATTTTGTTCTCTTGGAGACGTTTTAGAGATTTTTAAATATTTTAAAGTTTGATAAAGTCTTTAGGATGTATGCATTGACACATGGGTCTCTTGTGAATACTCCTACTTCAAATGACAACGATAAGCAAATATATATATTCTATATTTAATGCTTGATCACATATAACCTAAGTATAATATAAGTCTTAAGTTAAATGTAATACCAAGTTTAAATTATAAAGTAAATTTATGACAATGGGTAACGAAACTCTATACATATTGAACAATTCTGCTTTTCTTTGGATATATTTGTGCTTTTAAATGAATTAATTGAAATTTTCTTCCGAACAGTTGAAACTGTACAGAAAAGAAGAAGAGCACTGAAAAAGTTGCGGATACTCTCCATTGCTTCGATCATAGTTTCCTTTTGTAACATTCCGGTGGGTATTGTGGTACTCACCCACAGAGGAGACATGGAATTTCCCCTTACTTCTGGAGCTCCAATATGGTCGGGAGCATTGGTATTCTTTTTTTTTAAATTCTATATGAGAATGGTATTCGTAATTTTCTATAAATATTACATGTACCCCAAACACAAGTATAAATATTACATGTATCCCAAACACAAGTATGATTAGTTCTGCGTCTTGTTCTGTCTACCTTTGATTTTATCAAAATGACAGAAAAAGGATTGCAAAAAGGACAGTTTTCTTTTTTTCAGTATAAATATAGAAATTATGATTTCGCATGAAATTTGCTACCATAGAACATTTTATTTTCACCCTCTTGTTTTATATTTAAATTTGTATACTCTTGCACTGAGTTGAAAATAATTCTCTAACCGTTACAATCAAAATCTGAGATTTATCCATTTTTCTGAGTAAATCATGTAGGCATATCATATGGAGAAATGGTGTTCATTCTGCTCATTTGCATATTGGTCATATTGGAGCTGTAATGTCGGCAGATTCCATAAAGGTTATAAATATGGCAAAAATACAACAATTTGCAAATTTTTATATACTTACCATTTCGGATAAAGTTCTTCCGGCGATGGTTTGATTTTTCTTAAAATCTTCTACCAAAAATGACAAGATTGTTAATAGCAAAGTGTAAGTTGTCACAACTTTTTCTGATTTGAAAATTCGAAGCGAGAGTTTATTGTTTTATTATTGAAGGAAAGAGCACAGAACTGGTGTTTTTTTTTAAAATCATTTTTGATGATGTAAGTGTATCTTGCAAGTTGACAGAATTCTTCCGCCGATTATTAGGTGCAGCCTATTTTTACAAAATATAGATTATTTATCATTTTGTGAAGAGTTACGACCGATTTTTTAGTTTGAAAACGGCAATTTTTGCATCGATTTGAACTACTTCTTAACTGTATCACGAGTTGTCAACTGTTCATAACACAATATATTACCCATATAACCATGACCGAGGCTTGAAGAAACAACAAAATGAACCGGGCTTGCAGATTTTAAAATAAAAATTTAAAGAAATGGAATTACGAGTTTATGCATGATCTTATAAATATTAATGAGAAGTAAATCACGTGAAAGTAATTGCATGAATAAACTGCACACAGTATCAACATATCATTTAGTGAAGCGCATAAGCGCTTCATGAAAAATATGCCTCTCTGCATATCCTTGTGTTTTATTCCAATCACACTTAAAAACTGGGAAAAAAACCCTATATTTACATTTTATATATTCAAAACCAGCAAAAATTACTCTCAATATTTTGTCGCCACGCCCTATATGTTTTTTAATTACACCTCGGCCGCCTCATTGTAACTTTAACTCGTGTATATTTCTACGCGTGACTATATAAATCTATTGCAAAGTTGATTTAGTAAAAAAAAAAAAAAGCACAGCAAATGTAAATACTTGTATAAACAGATGGGTTTTTTTTATAATATCAGTAGTTTTTTTCAAAATCTAATTAACTATACATATAAATACAATATCAGTTTCTTTATGGGCTGTTAAATTTATTTACGAGGGTTGTCCAAAAAATTCGTAGACAGGGAAAACAATTTAGGTTTTGTTTTCTAAATTTAATTTCTTTCCTTGTCATATAGTAAAAGGTACGATGGACAATATGAGCCGTCAAATTACATGTAAGAGTAACTCTATTATGTACGCAGAATTAATTGACTTTAGCAGTAATACCTGTATCATTTTGTACATGTACATCTTTGTCAATGACAAAACGCTTGTACTTGTAATATGAATTTGTACATGTACAAATCTTGAGACAAAATACATTTGAAACTACTTAACATTCCTCAGATTTATTGGGGAGATTATCTGTAAACTTAGAAAGGGTTTTAAACAAAAACACGTGTGTTTTTTTAATTTTTTTTTGGGGGGGGGATGTTAAATCTTATTTTTAATGATATTAAAAAGAGCAAGACTGTTTGTACATTCACGTACGTCGTATGAGATCACGACTCTCAGATTTTTCCATCAAAGAATATTTTGTAAGTGTCTTTATTCAGATTCCTCGTGTTTTTGTTTGATTTAAACCTCTTTCACGACAATGCAATATAGAAATTCATTCTTAGGCCTCAAATACTAGCTAAAGATTCCAGAGAAAAAGGAAGCTGAATCTTTAAGTAAGAAGTTTATTCATTTCCTCATTCTATCATTTTCCTTGTTCCAATGAAAAATAAATAAAGGAGAAAAAATATTAATGGAACAAGGGAAAGAGTAGAATGAAAAATAAAGTTCTTACTTACGCAGATCATAAAGCGACAATCTTTCATCTGAAGGGAAGGAAAATACTAGAGATGCGGCTTCATTGTCTCTGAAATCTTTAACCAGTATTTTGGGACCTACGAATGAATTTTAATATTGCGTTGTCGATAAGGAAATTAAAATCAAACCAAAACAAGAGGAATCTGAATAAAGACACTTACAAAATATTCTTTGATGGAAAAATTTGAATGTTGAGGTCTCAGACGACGTATGTGAAAGTAAAAATAATCTCGCTGCATGCGTTTTATGATTATTAAAATTAGGAATACAGCATTTATTTAACAACAACAAAAAAGGGACGAGAAAAGAAGAAAAGAGAAGAAAACCAGACACATGTGTTTTTGTTTTAAACCCTGTCCTATTTTACAGATAATCTCCCCAATAAATCTGAGGAATGTTAAGTAGTTTCAAATGTATTTTGTCTCAAGATTTGTACATGTACAAATTCATATTACAAGTACAAGCGTTTTGTCATTGACAAAGATGTACATGTACAAAATGATACAGGTATTACTGCTAAAGTCAATTAATTTTGCGTACATAATAGAGTTACTCTTACATGTAATTTGACGGCTCATATCGGCCATCGTAAAAAAGCAACATTTCATGATCATGAATTTCAAGTTTCATGATAATACCGCATTTAAAAAGAAAATATTGTAAAAATGAAAAGAGCATACAAGTGTAAATCGGTGCACGAAAGCAAGCGTAATTGACGTCTTTTATAACGTCATGATTATTTTTAAGTACTATCTTATGTGCTTAACATGCGTCTTTAAAGTATCTCAATATTTTTTTTAAGTGGAAAACCACTATTGACCGAGGGACCCATCAAAATTCACCATTGTCCATGTTTATTTTTCAGATTCAAAATTTAGTCCACGAAAGGTCGCCTTAAATTGTTGGTAGCAGAGAATATACAGTCAAAGGTTGACGTCACGCTGATCGTGGTCCATAAGGTTTTCTCATTGACTGACTTTAACAATTGGTACTCTACTATAGGCGTAACCATTTTCAGTACGGAGGTGAAAATTGTCCTTGAATCTCTTATACCATTTTAAAATAACTTCTCTACTATCCCTGTAGTACGTATTGTCACTTCTGTATTTTTTCCACATTTCTAGAGTGGACAAACCACATATGAAACAATTTTATTAGATCCCCCTTGCGCTGCTAACGCGTTTAGGACGTCATTTGTAGCAAACTCAATTCCATCAGCAGTTTAAAAAATAATAACACAAATCCTCTGTCTCTGATGCTTTGATGTTTTACTTATTACGAAACAAATGTAATTGGAATAGCTACCTACGTAAATTATTCCGAATTCTGTTCGTGCGCCGACAGACCATTTAGGCTCTCCTATAAATCGTCAAAATATAATTACTATGAAAGATATAAATTTAAGAATTCACTGTTTTAAAGAACATTGAATATGTTATGTCTGTCTTAAATTTGGTTAGTATTGGTATATATTGGATATAAATATTGTCTACGACCTTTTGGGACAACCCTCGTATTTAATCCCGATTCTTCAATTTTCATCCTTATTTGTAAATTTTTTATCAAAAATTTTCTATCAAAATATAACTCTAGGTCCTCGCCTGTTCCATACATGGACTCAAAGTCTCCTGGATGGAAGTAGAATATGAACACGTGCCTTCACCACGTGCCTCTCTTCATGTGAGTCTTATTTGATATGGTTTTTGTTTTTGTCATTTTCATCTTTACTGGTAGAAGATCAAAAGAGCTTATGCATTTGTACAATTGTAAAACTCTCCATTCGTCTTTCTGTTTGTCTATTTGTTTGTTAACTTTTTTTTTCAAAAAGCTACCTCCTCAAATTGCACCAATTTATAATTTCCTATGCTTGTTTTTGATTTTTATAATTCGAGTTGCCATGTTTACTTTCAAATTAATATTGATATGCAAGGAAGACTACATCGAAATACACAATGTGATCAGTTTTTGATTTCGAATCAAAGTATTTCCAGGCTTACTTAAAATTGAATGTTTGTTTAATTAAAAAAAAATGCTCCCTTTCACAGTTTTGTTTTACTTGAAATCTTTGTAGAAGGTTTTGGGAAATATCAAGATACATAAAAGTATTTCTGTAAATGTAAAAAAAGGTTCATGTGCATCTTTTCTCTTACACATATAGTTCAGTAAAGATACATTCTTATCAGGACTTCTGGTTGGGAATTTCAAGTACGATACTTCACGCCTTACTATGATAGAACATGCGTCATGTGTCATATTTGTAATATATTAACCTTCATTACCAATTTCATGTTAAGGAAAGGGTATCATTATTCATATGTATAAAAACATATATTAATTATACATAGAAGATGATCTTTTTACTTTGTACAGCTGAAGGCTTATCATAACATAAACCGAGTGAGCGTGTTAACAAGTCTTGCGTGTATTGCCTTCTCCGCTGTCTTCGTTTTATATTGTGGTCGAGATTCCTATAATCCCGAATCTTGTCCAACCAGTGAAAGAGAAGAAATGATATCAAACATTTTGGCGATGTCAATTTCTGTCATTATGATGATTTGTAGCATCATGGGCATTATTCTACTTCGGTTAAATGGCAAAGCATTAGGACTTAAAAAGCTCTTGGAAATTGCCTCCGAAGAGAATCGTAATGCCAGACAAGAGCAATCTGAAGATATTACTGAAAATACTTCACAACCACAGAGACTTCGACCGACGTCATATGATGATAATTTTCCCGCTCCAACTGCACCACCGCTGTGTATTCGTAATTTTCCCGATCCATATGCACCACCGCAGTATGATAGTTATTTCGAAAGGGTTTCCGAAGAGAATCGTAATGACAGACTAGGACAGACCGAGGAAACAACTCGCAGAGATATACTTGAAAATCTCGAACTTCAGCCGCGGAGAATTACAGACATCGACAACAGGATTACAGATTTTGAAAATACGTCACATCCACAAAGACTTGGACCCCCACCTTATCATAGTAATTTTCCAGACCCAAGTGCACCCCCGCCTTATGAGCGTAATTCTTCCGATCCAACTGAATTTGAATATAGGTATAGAGAATTTCAAAATACTTCACATTCTCAGAGATTTGGACTACCGCCGTATGATAACAATGATTCCGATCTAACTGAAAATTACCAAAGGACTACAGATATGGAAATTAATCCTCAAAGACTTGAACCACCGCTTTATGATTCTAGTATTCCCACACCACCATATGAGTGTAATCGATCCGATCCCACGGAAATCGACTATAGGAATCCAAGATTACAGAATAATTCAAATCCTCAAAGATTGGGACTACCGTCGTATGACGATGTTTCTAATCCAACTGAAATTGGTTCTAGGACTACAGAATTTGAAAATAATTCACCTCATCAAAATGTTGCTACACCTGTGGATTATAATTCTATTGATCTGACTGAGCCACCACCAACATATGAAGAATATATGCGCAATTTATAGAAAACATGCTTAGAATGATACATGACATAAAGAAGTGATCAACGGAAGTTATAAAGTTAAACAGCTTTGATTACATAAAAAAATGCAGAGTTTTCAAATTCAAAATCTTCAATATCATTATAATTTGCTACCTGTTTTCAAAAACAGTGCGTGCATCTGAAGATATATCTACCACATAGGAAGTAATACAAAACTGTATGTCATTGCAAGTACATGTTTATGCATTCTTACCATTCAAGGTAGAGTCCATCTAAATTTTTGCTTCCTCGGAGCACATTGTTATGCATATTGAAATATAGACGTCTTTTGGAAAGTGATTGATGGTGTCTTTTAAATGTGCAACAAGGTTTCAGAATTATTTTACTTTCATCAAGAGCGCTAACCGGGGTTAGATACAAAAACTGTTTCCACAATTGTTAACCATATTTTAAAGAAAATCAACTATGCTTTTTAAAAACCCTTACAAACAAAGACTTAATTTAAGTTTACCAAGCCTCTTTCTTTATTCCTCACCAAAATATTAACAGCAATGAGGGAGAATCTTCAGAAGTATTGTATAACAATACATTTCAGAAGTGGTATTAACCAGACCTGGAAACTAATAGACTCCAAAGAACTATTTAGAAAATTTGAAATCACAAATGTTAACCAAAATCAATTATATCAAGTCCTACTTTTCATTACGTTATACAACCATTCCCCATGATAAATTAAATTCCAGGTTTTTGACATCATAAACATCTACTTTTTCAATAGAAATGGAACTCGTAAATTTACTTTTCTTGTAAATTTTTCATTTTCAAAATTATTTTGTTAAAAGCATTTTGATTGTTTACCAAAGTACTCTGACGTTGATATTGAAAAGGTGGTTTAGTTTTTGATTGACAATATTATGTATTGTTTGGTGATGAAGTTTTCAAGAAAGCTGTTGGATTTCCTATGAGTGCTAATTGCGCCCGTTGTTAGCAGACCCATTTTTTATCGGCCGCAGCAGCGGTCAATCTATTTGTGGTTGTGTTAGAAAGTGCACATGGGGAATGAGATGTTATTTATTATCAGTTCAGAAAAATATTTCTTTAATGATAACATGTATAGAATCATGAGTAAAAATATTTTAAGAACTTGCTTTAAACTAAGTCTTAATTGTTATTATTTTTTCAATTTCATTTGTCGTCGGATAATTATTAATTTATGATTATATAAAATGAGTTTACAATAGTTACTCCCCAACCTGGGAGTGTGTAAGATATGAACGCAAATTGTCTTGATTTTCCGGATAATAATTAAGTTGTGAATAAAAATTGAAAAGTGGTTAAACTTGAAAAAATTGTTTTGAATATGCTACAGCTGCGAATGACATAAGGATTTAATTTTTTTTAACTTTTGCACCGCGCCGTGCATCATACTCCGCAGAAATCATCGGCATCATCACGTGACAAAGATCCAGGGTATCAGCAAGTAGTTCATCTTGAGTTCTGAATATAAATACTAAAATAGGCCTACATCTCCATGTTGATGACAATAAATATGTTTATCATTTATCACTAAGTGATTTAATTCCATGGATGAATCAATTTGATGAACAAATGCACTAAAATTTCTATTTATATAATTTATTAAATATTTTTATTTTAAATCTTATTTTTAAATTTATTTCATTTTATTTTACTTCTCTCTCTCTCTCTCTCTCTCTCTGTCTCTCTCTCTCTCTCTCTCTCTCTCTCTCTCTCTCTCTCTCTCTCTCTTTTTTTTTTTTGCTTTGAAGACAGTCTGAAATAAAAAAAAAAATGATCACACTTTCAGCTGTGATTCTTTGTATTGTGAAAGTACTTTTTAAAATGCTAAATTTTGTTTGTGGCCGATTTGATGCTTTGGATCAATTTTACCTGTTTATTTATGTGACACAGAATTAATTCAAAAACTTCTACATGAAAAGAAAGAGTCTCCGCGTGTGAGCTAAGGCTAGATATAGACGTTTCTATGCAAATGAGCTAATAAAACGCAGAATATGTATATCATATCTTTTAATTCATTTTTTTCATGCATATTTAGTACCAACGAAATGATATAGCCACTACACATTATGACATCATATTATGTCATCATAGTTCTTTACTATTCGAAGTAATAAAATACATCAACAGATCAACTTTGGCACAAGGGCATGTACATATATTGTACTATTTAATATTACATAAAAAGGATAAAATGCGAAGTAGAATATTCTAAAGATATTAATAAAATTACTGCACAAATCCTACGCACTTTCTCATTTAATCAGAATTCAAGGAAACTTACACCGGACTTTGCATTTTTCCCCATCTCAACTCAAATCTATACGAATATTATCTAAATAATTGAACTGTTGATTTTTGTGCAGCAATATAATCACTCCTTGAAATATTCTGTTTTTAATTATACCTCGCTTCTGTAAAAAGAAAAAAGGTATACAATTGCGCCGAAGCTTTTCCTTCTGAATCAAAGACCAATGACGCCATAATGAAACGGCACAAAATGCACTGGTCATAAATGTCGCGGGCACCAAGTACTTATTAGAAAATAAGTCTTAACCTTCTCTGTCTAATAGCCATAACTCATATGTGTTTTAATTAATTTATTTGCATAGAAACGCCTATACTAAGCCTTAACTCACTTGTGTATTACTATGGCTTTCAATTCTATATTTGCTACACGACGTTTTGTCAATTAACAATATTCTTTTTCATTCCTATGTTGATTCGATATCTCATTTTAAACTCGAAAAAAAATACACCACAGAGTCTGGCACATCTGTTCCATAATTGGATATTTTACTGGAAAAAGACGTTAATGGCAACATGGATATTGTCCAAAACACAAAGTGACCATGGCCACGCATTCTAGCCCATTTAAGTACATATCTTGCTTCTTTACAACACAAAAACCTTATACTTCCTGGTACTTTAATATGGTTTCTGCATGACTATTTTTTTCATCAAAACTTTAATTTTATTGACGGGATTCTTGTTTCATCTAAATAATATGTATTTTTTTTATTGTTAACAAAAACAAATATTTTTAAAAATGCAATGAAATAAACGTAAAATTTCATAAATCACCAAAATCTATCATTATAATATACAATACACTGAACTTTTTCTATTATATAAATGAAAATTCAAAGAAGAATTAACAGGATAAGCTTTATAACGAATATCGTATTACTTGTTATCTTCCCCTTTATATCGTCATTCTTTTGTGCCATCGTTTTTCGAAATGGCGATCATACGTGTAAAAATGTCGCTGCTACCAGAGGACGGAAATTGAATATATTGGCATTAATAACCTCTGCCATTATGATTATCTGTAATATTGTTGGATTTGCGTTATTTCGGTTAAAAAGAAAAGCATAGAATAACGGTAGAGATGAAAACAGTTTTTCTTTCAATCAGAGACTTCATTGGATAGATCCGTTTCAGCAAAGTAATAATGGATTTACTGGAATTTACCAACTGCAGGAGTATAGGATGAGAGACTTGGACAATACGTCACTTCCTCCAGGCATTAGAACAGCGATTGGCATTAGTTTTACTGACCACACAGATCCACCACCCGCCTACATCTAAATTTAGCACATCAAATAAAAAAAAAATGTTCGGGAACTAAATGTTCATTGCATTTTGAACTTGAATAAGAACAAATATCCAAGTCTATTCAATCTTTATGGTAATGTAGTAACAAATAATTAATGAATCTCTCTGCTATCGAGAGGGTTGTTTAATACAGTATTCACTACAAGGTTGAACCGATGAACATTTTCTTCACATCTTATAAAGTGTTCAATTTGTGTAATAGATAAATTGCATCTTTTGATTTCCTACATACGCCCTTTGGCATATAACAGTATGAAAAGTGAAGATTGGTGCCAAAAAATTCATATTAAGCAACATCACTTACACTAGGAACCATGTCACTCTAATCTTAGTCGCTAAAATTAATCTCATATAAATTTACAAAGGAATATTGTTTAGTTTAGGAAGTGTCCTTTCTGACATATTCATTTTATCAAATAAAATCTGCGACGTGACTTTTTTTTTTTTTAAATAGTCATGTTGCAGATTTTTTTTGTTGATAAAATGAAACATGTCAGAAAGGACACCGGCCTAATTGTTTATGTGGACTATCAGAAGACTCATACTATATGTGTTTATTTATAACAAAATCCTCATGTAACAGGAAGACAATCTTTAACGAAGAATCTATTGTCATTCAATAATTTGTACAAATTGGTATATAAATAGAAATTGCATTTAAATATCATTTTTGAAACTACTTATGTATTTGTAGTAAATCAAATAACCGCATGGTGGCAATTTTGCAAAATTTTGTATATGGAGTAACTAATTTTTTGAATTTGTGTCTTATTCTTTTGACTTTTGTCAATCAAAGATGTTCCGTTTATTTGTCGTTAAAATACAAAACTTACAGAGTGCAAAACATCTGATAAATTGCATTTTTTAACAATGAAAACATGGGGGAATATCGTTTGTATATTTTTTGAGTCAATATCTCCATATAAACATGTGCATTGTAATCTTTACTGGAATACGAAAGGATTGAGCAAAAATTAGGAAGGGATCGCGGGAAGATGGTTCAGATGGTTGAGACATGTCCATTTTAAAATTAATCCTTTTAAATTGTTATCTTGATATAAACATGTCCTCTTTAGAAGAATACACAAAAATTTGGCCAAAATGAGTATGGTCTTTTTTTTCAGGGGGTTGAGAACATGCCTCCCCTCCAAATCCCAATAGTTTCACCTTTCTTATCTAAATTAGATCATTTCACCTTTTGTAGAGTACAAAAGGATTGATTTAAAAATTAGAATGCATCTGATCAGACAGTTGGGATACCCCTCCTGAAGCAAAACTTTTTTCACATTATTCGGTCTTCTTTATTCAACGTGTAAAAAAAAGTTTTATTTGACCGTATTTTATCATTATTGTCAAAAACTGTTAGTAGTTTTTTCATTAATAATAAAGGATTTTTTTTTAAATCAGATATTTGTTAAGCATTGCCTAAATAACCCTTGATTATGATAATATCACTGTAGGAAAGAATAAAAACGGTTGATACACGGAAAGGGTTATTTAGTATGAAAAGAAAGTGCATGCTCCCGCATTTTCCTTTAAAGTGCGTAGAGGAAATTTATACATGCATTGTTTTTCCTTACACGCACCGTGATTTACAAATAACTTTTAACGTTAGTCAATTGAAATCATAACAGTTGCTTTAGAAATATCATGGACAGAAAATCCATTTGAATAAAGAACGTCCATGCAATTGGTGTTTACAATTATACTGTATGGTGTAATTTAAACAGTTTTAAAACGGCTTGCTTGTTAAATACTCATGCGGAAATTTAAAGTTTTGATTGTTCCTGTTGTGTAGCAGGGAATGCAAAAAACTGTTTTAACCTTGTGCTGCCTTCCTTGCGGATTGTTTACGTCACATATCAGGATATGTTAAACAACTTGTGTGAGTAAGCAATTATTTGTCCTTCAAAGAATTTTTTTTCTAAAATGTAGATTACTTTTGTGTGTTTGTAAGATAGGTACATGTATTAATTTAGTTTAATTAATCTTAACTGAGATATTGTTTGACTAAATGTAGAGTGACCATGAATACCAATATGAACACCAATGACGGACAAAATCGTGAAAATGTCGTCAATAATGCAACAAGTAAGAATAAGAACTTTTTTTACGATTTTGTTTTTGGTTTTTGTCTCGCTAATTGAACCATATTGAGTATAGTGAGCAACACTATGTGGCCACCTTGTTATTTAAATCAATCGCCTTTTTCATTATTTAAAGAAGTTGATTTTTTTTTAATGATCCGAGCCTATGTTCATGTTTTTTCATGATGTAAATACGAAGGATCTATTCATTTTAATTATTATGTGTCAAATAGCATTCAATTCATAAAATAACTAACCTGTAACTCAAGGTAGTGTTTGCAGATTAAAATACATGCATATACACATGTATGCTAAAATAAATTAACTGTCTGAGTTGAATAATAAATAGTCAACTAAGAAATTGATTCAACTCAGGAATGAATGCTGGATAAATGTAAATTATTAGTGAATTTCTATTAATGTCTATGAATGACACAGAATAAACGTTTCAAAATTACATGTTTATATACAGATTATAGTATTCTTATTAAATGTAAGTCATAACATTGTATTAAAAACATCTAATTTCTGCATTCTATCTTTAGAAAGTGAAATAATCACGCGCTTTCCTTTCGCCAAGTAACCATTATTCCATTATTAAACTGAAAACATTGACAAGTCTTCAGCCTACTAGCTGATTTAGGGTCAAAAAATTTCTTAACCAGAAATGTATATAAATGCATTCTTTTCACGCATGATAAAAAGTAACAACTTATCATGTGTGCCAACCACTCTACAGCTCTTCCTCAGGTATATCATTCTTTTTAACAGATAAAACAATACAAAAAGGAAAAGTTCAACAGAAGCTATACACACTTTCCATCGTTACAATCATGGTCTCCATTATTACGATCGTGGTTTCCTTTCCCAATATCCTGGTAGGAACTCTGATCATTATATTTAAAGGAAACGTGAAACTTCCTCACTCACCCAGCGGCCCTATATGGTCTGGAGCACTGGTATTCTTTATTCACAATCTTTGATGTTTTATATTTGGTCAGACAGCACGATGCTCAATTACATATAATTTTTCACAAGACTTTGTGATTGAAGTATTAAATTCTTTCCCTTCCTGTAATGAATGATTGGAAAATTATTGGTAATTAGAACAACTTTATTCATTTGATTACTGTATATAGGTGTAATTTCACACCAATCATATTTTCACCCCAATTTGCCCCCACTGTATTGGGCGAATTTACAGAAAGAAAGTTTTACCTTTTTAAAAAAAAGAACATTGCAAATTACTATTGGTTGAATTCATTACTGGGTAAATCGATTAAGCATTTGATTGAACGGAAACAAAATGTGGCGAAATTGATCCACATACAGTATTTCGATAAATGAATTTCCCTGGGCGGGGATTCACATGTTTATTTTATTATATTTACTGAAACAGAATTATAACATATTCGATCAGTTAAAGCACTGTAAATATCTTAGTCCTCTAAATCCATGAAAATAGATGTGCAATTTTTTTCATTGTATGTATGAAGCCATCTTGAAATAGTTCTAATGCATTAGCTTTTTTGATAGAGTTCAATGTCATTTTTGATAATGTTCATTGTTATTTTTTATCTGACTTCATGCTATTTGATATAGTTCAATGTTATTTTTGATATAGTTCATTGCTATTCTTGGTATAGTTTAATGTCATACTTTGTTCATTATTCTTGATTTGTATACTTGCACATATGATTTTCCATACATGTATTGAAATGCAGGTGCTTGTATGTGGTATACAATGCCTCTTACTTTCCTGGATGGGCTTTGGTTATATTGATTTGCCTCCATCTTCTTCTCCCAATCATGTAAGTCACTTTTTAATGGGATTGTTTTTTCTTTGTCAGTTTAGAAAGGCAATATATATTGTTTACTGAGAGTGCATTAGTTCCTAAGAGGTCAAGCATCTGCTATAATATCATCCTTTCCACGTTACATGGCTATATTGTAATTGAAAAGTGTTTAAATCTGAATAGAGTACATTGTGTATTAATTTTGATCAATATTTTATGCATGTAACAGATTCCGAAGTATTCTTAGGATTGTATTTTGACATTTGTATCTTTGCATTTGAGTATTGTAGACCTTTTAATTTTCGCGACACCTTATTTACGCGAGATAGTCATTGACTCTTAATTAACGAGACATAATAGTCACGAATAGTGAATATTGCTCTATATAATCTTTAGGAATACTATTATACACAAGAATGAAATTTTCGTGAGCACACTGTCTCGCGTAATTACGCGTAAAAAAAGTTCTCGCGAATAAAAGTGATTTATAGTATACTTTTGACTAATCAACAAATGCATCTACAGAATTTTCAATATATATATATATATATATATATATATATATATATATATATATATATATATATATATATATATAATATACAAATATAAAATTTTACCAATATGAATACTGCATATCTGTCTCTCTCAAGCACCCATCATGGTCTCCCTTAGCTTTGAAGACATCACGACATCCTGTTCGATCAGATAAGCAAGAAGTTAAAATATAGTGCTTCCTTGGATGGTAGGCAGCTCACATAAAGCGATCATTCTTTAAAGTCGTTAACGCCTCCATCCTTGCATTTCGTGTTGGAAAGTTCTGGCCAAGACGGTAGTGTTTTTCTTAATGTGTAGGATTTTCAGTGCTGTAACCTTTATATTTTAAGTTTACTAGATCTTTGGCTCAATTTTGTTTGTACGTTAATTAATGACATCATCAAAATTTTATCTTAAATAGATATATAAAACGTGGAATTTTTGAAAGTGTAATTCACCAACTAGACCCTTGCCTATGTTTAAGTGCTAGATTTTGATCACGTACAATTAAATTTATCATATGCAGAGTATCTATCTTCACTTGGTTGGTTATGTTTAGTGAAGTGTTATTATTTTAAATCAAATTAATTTGTAGTTTACGGATTGTTTGTGTTTATCTAATGAAAACTGATTTATTAAACATATGCAATGTTTTTATGACTTAGGGTTCAATTTTTAAAATTTATTATTTACATCTATGTATTCCTATGTAAAGCTTTTAGGACTCTTAATCTTTAACATAGGAATACATACATGTAAAATTATTTTCTTTTGAACAGATGAGGACGTGCAATGATGTAGGCAAGCCGAGCGTGTTCATGACTATTCTGTCTCTTTTATTCTTTGGATTTTTTGTTTTATATTGTCCTTGGAGTCTTGATGCTCAAGATCATTGTACTCTTAATATAGAAGAACAAATGTTATTGAACCTTCTAGCAATCGTTATCTCTCTCATAATTATTATCTGTAGTATTGTGAGAATTATTCTACTTCGTTCAAGTGATAAAGCTTTAGGAACTGCAAAACACCATCAACGAGTTTTATAGAAGGTTTAGAATTGCAGGAAAAAGCAAGCAAAGGAGTTTAAAGGACTATAACCACAGCAACGGTGAAATACGGAGATCGAGATCACAGAGTATGAATTCATATTATCAAGAATATGGATCATCGTTTTATCCTAATTTCTCGCTGCAGACAATTCTCTATCACACGAAAAGACAAATCCTTAGAGAAAAAAGTGATCGAAAACATTCACAACCTGTATTGAGATGACATCCTTAACTACACGAAGCCATCATGATACAAGTATATAAAAGATTCATGTTTGCGTATGTACATTGTGAGGTTCATGTTGAGTCTTTGAACCCTCGGTGCACAATGTCACAAAATAAATTTTACCAAATTTGCTCTCAATTTATATTATTTTGTTGGATTTGAAATCTTCACATTTCACTTGGATGGGTTTTCATGGAAGGGGGCTTACTGTAGATTGTTCCAAATCTTCTTAAAGGTAAAAAATCAAGATGATTAGTTTTTAAGCAGGAGTTATGTTGGCAAAGTGTCGTTCAACTCATTTTGCGATCCTTAACCAAGGTTATCTTCTCAACGCGAAAAGAATGAGAGAAGAAAGTATCTATCAATATATGCATGTAAAGAAGTTAAATGTAAAATGTAAATAGCTAAGAAAATTGGAAGTTTAAACTCACTTTAACGCAAGGTTACATAACGACTGATACACCAGATATGTTGTAAATGTTTCTGTTTAAAAAATACAATTCTTTTTTGTTTTTGACATCTTGTAGTCTTGTATCAAACCTTGGATTGTGGTTTTCACTTAAATGTAAAATTTATAACTAAAAACATAAGAGAGCTGTCAAGAAGATTCATGAACACGTTTTTGCTAATTATCAAGGCACTGTCATATGTGCGATAGTATCATAATTAAGATCATGACCGATTTAAATATATAATATATGAAAATTAGAGCAATGCACAAAAATTTTCGAACGTTGTCAGCATAAACACCCTGTATATACAAGACCCATGGCCCAGTCTGATATTATAAGATTTATAAGTATGCCAAGGTAGATAATATCTTTATTTTACGCCCTCTAGACCGACTAAAAAGCAAACACATTTCAAACAAAATATTCAGTAATAAGCACAATTTTGACATTAATGAGAAAAAAGGTACAAATTGAATTCTTAAATTTTTTTAAGTTCTTTAACTATGTCAAAAAACTGTATTTTCACACAATAGCATTAATCTGATATAACAAACTGAATTTCCTTAACGTTTTGCTTTTTTACTTAATTTATTTTTATATAATTTCTTTCATTTTCTCTCAAAGATAGCCTTAAAAGTCGAATGGATCCCAATATTTTCGAAAAAGGCAGATAATTTTACGAGGATTTGGAATTTTTCCTGGGATCCTGAAAAACTTAGCTTTATCCGTAAAGTTGCTATATCAGTGTTCGTACTAAACGAGTTTTACTGTACACATAAATGATTAAAAGATAGATGTGTGGTGCAGTAGGACTTTTAAAATCATATTGTGAGAAGAAAGTGGGGATAATGGAATTTGAATTCGTGCTATAATTATGTTCTATTGACTTTCTTAATGAAATCGTTTTCTCTCAGAAAATCAGCAAGCTTAATGACCAACAATATTTCCAGTTGTGGAAATTTATAACAAAATTTTAAATGAGCGAAATTTAAAGTCTCTCAAATTTTTAGAAAGGTCACAGAGGGAGGACAGAAAAGTAAGAGATAATTTAACTTTTCAGTTTAAAATCCATATATTTATATTTTGCGTTGTATCAAAATGAACACGTTGAAATCGGAGAAAGTCAAGTTGACGGCATAACGTCATAGTATTAAAATGAATTAGAAAGGGGTAACTCTAGACATGTTTCAAAAAAAATCATCAGATTTGGGATCAGGGCCGATTTTGGTGCCTAATGTACTTTCGTCTTCAAAGGTTCTAAAACAATTTACGATACATATTTGTCATTATATGTATATACTTCACCAAAGTGCGAATCAAAATGGGCTAAAGATCTGCAGTTACAGCAGGGATTTAGTTGGAAATTGATTCATAAAAGATATTATTCAATAACAAAAGACACAAGGTTTTCATAGTTTAATTTTAGAATCATACATAGGATTCTTGGTACAAATAAGTATTTGTTTTTGCCTAAAATGAGAGAAAATAATCTATGTTTTTTGTCAGCAAAATGTTGAATCAATTGTACATATTTTCTTTTATTGTCTTAAAGATAAGCCTTTGTGGTCTCTTTTAGAAGATTGGATATTTGGAAAAATAATAAAATTTCATGTATGCACAGGTTCTTCTTAAGACGACACAATTATTAGTCTTATATTGCTAAATATCTTTAAATACTTATATGTGTATTATAAATTTGAAGAAAAAGTGTATAAAATTAACATTGAACTTTATGTGTATAAAAGAAGATGGATTATAACTGGAACCAGATATTTGAAAACATAAACATATAGTTGAATTTATGTCATCTTTATTATTATTTTAGCATATTTTGTGTATTCATATTTTTTGGTATTTCATGTATATTCCTAAAATCTTGTTTTAAGCCTTCCAGCTGTGGTTTGTCTGTGTATGTGTATGTATATTTGTTTATGTCTAAAGTCAATAAAAAAAAGTTACTGTAGATTCCTAAATATACGCGAGGAATTAATTATCGCGTAATTACGCGAGAAGCACCGATCGCGAAATAAAATTACTCGCTTTTATTTTTTCGGTGCTGAAATCAATGTAAAATCCCTTGATCAACCGTCCACTCGCGAATTATTGTTCTCGCGATTTGACGTTTAAGAGCCTTTTCGCGATAATAAGTACTCGCGAAAAATAAGGAATCTACAGTAACTCATTTTTTTATCATTGCTTTTTTAACTTATGTCTTCTACTTTCCGTACATAGATATTCTCTTAAATATTAAATTGACAAAATTTCTATTAAGCAAATGTTAGTTTTGTTGTTATTTCATCGATATTTTGTTTACATCATCAAAATTCTATCAAAGTTCTGTTACATGAATATGTCATATTCAGACTAGATCTAGCTTTAGATTTTTATGTACAGGGTCTTTTGGATGAGCCTTTAATTCCGAGATCCGTGCCATGATTGGCATTGGCACGATAAAGTACCCTTACTGCTCGATGGTCCTAAGTGCCGAGTAAGGTGTCTCACCATATGGTGTTATCATATATGAGTGAAAAATTTTCACCAGTTTATGGTGACGTCTCTCTATGAGTGAAAAATTCTCGAACGGGACGTAAAACAACATACAATAAATCAATGTAATATAATATACACATTAAATTCTATTAGAGGTGAAGATTACACGTGTTCTGTCCATGAAGACCAGATGTGGGACATTGTAGCACTAATAATCTCCATTATTATGTGCATCTCTAACGATGTTGGGTTTGTTTTATTGCGGATAATTGATAAAGCGTTGCAATATGATGGAGCAGGAAACACTTCTAGCAATATCAGATACACTGAAGTAAATCCATTCGAAGAAGGAAATAGCACTCTAAAAAATATAGATCCGCCTCAGCAGAACATTAATAGACCAAGTGATTTAGATCCGCCCAAACAGATCAAAAGAGGAACAAGTGATTTAGATTCGCAGGATTTCATGGAATTAGAATATAGATTGGGTTGACTGCAGAATATATTGCCTTCTATATCGGATTTTGGAGTACGAGATAACATTATTGTCACTATGCCTACTGATCTACCACTACCTTATATCTAAATTTAGTCGACTGGATTAAAGGAAATTTCTGCTCGTTTTATTCTGTACTTTACCTGGCTCCGGGGCCATAAAACTTAGCCAGCTCACTTTTGAGATCAATCTAAAAATCTCAAATTCCGGGCTTAACTTAGACCGTCTCACTTTTAGTGTGCCATAAAGGTCCAACTTTTAAGGCTATTCAATTAATGTTGGACTGCATGTATTATAGTTGGACTGCATGCATTTAAAGTTATTGGAGTGCGCAGTAAAATATATCAAGCAATGTTATGAGTTGCCATGTCCATGAACATTTAGTAGTGATTGATTCGGAAATATGGATCAAAATCGTTTGAGACTTCAAATGACGGCTTGTTCAGAAAAAAACTTAATTTGTAAGCCGCACAATAATCTATAAGACATTTATTCTGTTGTACGCAACATATCTTGACGCTTTGATAAACTCGCCAATTTAGCAAAGAGGCAAAAAAGCAGAAAATTCTTCCTCTCGAATAAAAGCGCCAATATTTTAAACTCAAAGCTATTTACAGAACCTCTCCAATCAATTACTTACAGAAAGTGAAACATTGCTATTATCAAAGAGATTAAAATATATTCTAACTTCAAAACCAAAGAAAACTTTTTAAAAAATCATGAAGGATTTTCTAAGCTAGCCTTGTTGTTTAATATCTATTTCAATTATGAATAAATGAAGCCGGTTTTATTATTTAAAAATATCAAAATTTAAAGTCGTGACTTTCTATATTAATAAGAAGTTACCGTATAACGGGTATTTTCTACCGTTTTCCAATTTTTGCGGAATTTTGCGGATAGGACAAATCCGCAAAAATTACAATCGCAAAATATTTTTCAATATTTATTCAGATATTTTATACATGCAATTATGATAAGTGGTGCGTATGTCTGGCCGGGTTCTCATTAACGCAAGAACCTGCGTTCCGGACGCAGAAAAAATATCTGGAACGCAAGGATTTTAAAAAATTCGGGTGTCATCGAATGTTTACAGTATTATATTAAAATGCACTGAGAAAGTCAGGTAACTATAGTTTAACTAACTATGTTATGTATAACAGAAATCACGGTCATGTTTAACGAAATCGTCATCGAAAACTTTTTTTTTAAATTTTTATTTGCCATATGCGTATTTTTAAAATTCATATGATTTTTCTCAGCAAAGTGCACTTTTTCATATTCTAGAGTTTTTTAGCCTAATTGTTTAACACTATTTCCAGAAATAATTTCTTATCAATGTAACCCTCAAGGTGTCTGAATGATAATGTTTCTCCTTAAACAAAATTAAAAAGAAATAGTAATTCTTTTTCAGACGCAATAATCATTTTTAAGCGCTAAGCGCAGCGCAAAGCGCTTACTGTCATCTTAATACTACTTCCGTTCGCGATCCAGCGCCACTAAGCAAGTAAGATAACTCCACTGACTCTTCTAAAAATATGCAACTGGAAATC